GTGGGGGTTGGATCCACACGGAGACTCAGGGGAAAACACATCACAGTCAGTTCCCAGCACCTGCCTGTGGGTGTCATTTCCATTCTCCTCCCAAGCACCACTTTGCAACGTGTGACTGCATTAAACCCTCCGACAGGAAAATGAAATTTGTTTAGAAGGTACTGGTATTTCACATTCAGGGCAGGTGATGATGCTCACCCTTCACCATGTCAAACAGTTCATTTTTTGTTGTTGGGTGGGTTGTAGATTTTACGATAGAAGCAAGTAAGTGTGACGCTCCGGGCTGTAAACTTGATCTTATTGGCAAAATGTCTATTATGCAGCTAAAAACATCGAGCTAATGGGCATGGCCCTTCAACAAGCAGTAGCAGCTGAGTCCTGCGTGGTGATAACAGTGACATTATGTCTCTTTGATCACCCCTGGGTTCTTTATGCTGCCAATTACAGGGTACGTGTTCTGCCCTGGCTTCCTAGACCATGCTCCCAGCCTCACGTGGTTTTTCTTCAGGGGGTTCTGGCTGTGATTCCAGCAGTCCCAAGGTTCACTAGTGGGGAGAGAAGACCTGATTTTTAGGAAACAGGGACAATCACAGGAGGCGAAGGCTGACAGACACGTCACTATTCAAGCAGGTGACTCCAATAGGGCCATTTGCCAAGCGCCTATAGGGTGTGTCTGTGGCACCAGACTGAGCTATGGGCTGGGAATGTAGTAACATGTAAGATGCCTTCGCTCCAGAAGAGTTCTGAAATCTTAGTGATCTGGCAGTGGTGGTGTTGTTTTTAATAACTGGCCCTCCCTCCCCATTAGCATAGACAGTTTTTGTGTTTGTTTAAAACTGGCTCGGGCCTTTCTTCCCTGAATGTTCAATGCCGAGTCAAGCCTGCCGCTTTAAGGAACCGCTAACTATCCTAAATCCTGTAGAGGGTTTGGATCGGGTGTAGGAAATTTTCACAAGGACCCAAATTTCACGTCGATTTGTGATGGATTAGCATACCAAAATTGGTTTAAAGTGCACTTAATGGATGCATTACTGCGGGAGGGATCCGCCTAACCAGAGGATTTCTAAATTTATAAAAATTGAAATGCACTTTGGGTTACTGAGGAGTCTAAATTTGTCAAAGTCACAGGGTGGGAAGCAGGTCGTTGCAGAAATCTGAAGCCAGGGCTGCCGAAATGAATCTGAGAGCTTCTGCAATGACCTCCAGAGCCCTTAGGCCCCTGGGAAAAGCCCTTTTCATGGTAGAAACAGAATCTGTGCCTTGTGGGCCTCGTGTTTACTAAGCCCTGGCATGACTGAGGGACAGAAAGTGACAGGAACCCCGTTCTCATGGGTTTGCCCATCATTAACTCAATGTCAGTGGTACCAGTAGACAGTAGACGGTTATAGCAGTGACTTCAGGTCTGCTTCTACGTGCTTGATTTCTGAGCCTCAGTCTTCCAGTCTGAAGGATGGGCATAAGTAGCATTGATTGTTGGGAAGGCTTAAGGATACAGAGTGGGAAAGTACTGCTTGTTATATGGATGGGAGTCTTTGAGGTTCCTTTAGGAAGAGAATGGACCTTAGTTATCTCTGTGGCTCCCTCATTCATCCTAGTATATGGCACACAGTAGGTGTTCAGAGAATATTTACGGAATAAATGAATGAATGTGACTGTAAGGGATGTAGTGGGTCCTTTTTACAGTGCTCTGATGTCCTTGTGCTGTCCCTTACAAAACCTTTATTCAAGTTATGATTGTCACTCATTTAATTCATTATCAGTTATGTGGCAACTATGTGCAAAACTTTCAATAATGATGCGCACTAATAATAGCTACGTTGTTTCCTATAGCCCAATAAATGTGCTTACCACTTTTCTGTTTTTAAAGATTTATTTTTTAAATTTATGTATATGGGTAAATGTTTGCCTGTGTGTATGTCTGTATACTGTGTGCATGCAGTGCCTGTGGAGGCCAGAAGAGGACATTGGATGTCCTGGAACTGAAGCTACAGATAGCGGTGAGCCACTGTGTGGGTGCTGGGAACTGAACCCAGGACCTCTGGAAGAGCAGTCAGTGCTCTTAACTGCTGAGACCTCTCTCCCACTCCTGTGCTTTGCCATGAACCCACTGCTGTAATGGATCAGTCAGTTACTGCCACAGTAATGCCATGTAACAAAACAGCTTACAATAGATTAGCACCTTTTTCTACCCTGTTTATGTGTGTATAGGTCAGCTGGAGTGCCTCTGAGTACAGCTGAAGCTGGGATAACTTGGCTGCAGGGTGCAAACTGAACTCAGGTCTGCTTCAGAGTGTTCATTCTGGAGCCTTGCTGGAAGATGAAGCTCCTATTTAAGAAATGCTCTTTATATGTGGGCCACTAAAATATGACAGAGAAAGCCTGGCCTCGAAAGAGCATTTCCAGCCTCTGACCCAGTTGTTCCCCAATATCTCACTGTCAAAAAAAAAAAAAGTCAAAAGTCAAGTCATGGAGAGGTGCAGCCTGTTTACTATGAGGTGGTGGTAGGGGAGATGTATGTCACTTGGAGGTGGGGCCTCTTGGAAGGTGATCAGAATCAAATAAGGTCACCAGAGTGGGGAGTCTTGTGATTTGGTGCTTGTGGCTTTATAAGAAAAGGGAGACAGACCAGAACACACACGGACACATGGCTCCTTGCTGTGTGATGGTCTGAACCATCCTGAGAGTCTGCCAGATCCTGGCTCTTGAGCTTCCAGGAGCATGAGGTAAAGAAACTCCTTTTCTTTATAGTGTTAACCAGCTTCAGGTATTTTGTTATAACGACACAAAATGCACTGGTGTGGCCACTGTGGAAGACTGAAGAGCTGGGCTTAACAACTCAGTGTACCACTAGAGGCTCAGAAGAAGTAAGTGATTTATGCAGAATTACTCAGTAGGTGTTGGAAGTAGGATTTGAACCCAGGCAACACCCTCCCTGCCCCCCAATCACGACGACCTGGGAATGAATGCTGGAGGGAGGGCATACTTATTGTCTTAAACTTTCTGCATTTGCTTCTTACTCACGAATTGCCACAGGACGACCAGTACCAACCAGTCTCTCTCCTGTTCCTATCCCTTCCTTCCCTCCCTCCCTCTCTTCACTCATACAGGGCATTTGGGTGTTGTCAGGGCTTTTTGGAATAACAAGCAATACTTGGATAATTTTCTGAAGTTAATGTTGAGCGAGGAAAAGAAAAATTCTTGTCCAGGTAATCTCAGGAACATGTATAATACCGTTGGAAAGTCCCGGTGGAACTCATATCAAAGCGGCACAGGGATTTTACTTAAAAACAATTTGCTCCCACGTCAGCTGTGATTTCTGACACCTGAATTTGAAAGTCATCTGGGTGGGCTCAGCGCCATCTCCATAATGGGGCATATATTGGAAAGTCCCCATACGTGTGGCCCAGGGATCATGTTCCATACACTCTTACAGGAGGGGATTTCCTCCTTGCTTTTTCCAAAGAACCTTCCCTGTGTTTGCTTAAACCGGCTGCATACGCTGCTCTGACAGCTGCCTGGCCCAGGACTTTGCTTACAGGCGCCTGCACAACCCACCCTCCTTAACAGCAACCTGCACTGTGTCCCAGTGCAATTACTCGAATATATAAACCTTACTGAAAGGCAGTCTTTACTCCGGAGCTAATAAATAAGCCCCAAAGCCACAACGTGTGTAAGACCATGAAAAATGGCATCATTATCTATTGGGAATTGTGAACTCTGCAAAAACCAGCTCATTGTATTTTTAGAAAAAAGGTTTTTGTTTTAAAAAAAATAATAAAGACCTCCACATCACTAAGCCGAGTCTACACGGGGGGGAGGGGGGGGCGGGGGCGGGGAAGCAATACAGTCTGCTGCCTAGGCGGTGGGGGGCAACCTCATTGCTTCATTAATCTTTCTTTGCAGATTTTTATGTAAGAGGCAGGATTTGTTGGAAAATAAGACAGGGGTTTTGAAGAACTCCCCTGTCATCCACGGTTCGCATCTGCAGTTATAATCCTCTGATTGTGACCTCTGAATCAGTTGCCATGGATCCTGAGCCAGAAGTTTACACTTCAGGATGGTAGTAGCTTCTAAGGGGTGAGGTGGAACCTCCAGCAAGAGAGAAAGGGGAACTCAATTGTCTGGATCATCTTTCTCATACATGCCAGCATTCTACAGTTTAAGGAGCATTTTCCTGGTTGCTTCGAGAAACAAGGTGCTGGACTCTGGCCATGGGGACATGGGCAGGCCAACGACTGTGGCTTCTATCCTGTTCCCAGAGTCTGGGTTTGGTGCTCCAGGGGCTGTCCCGAACAAGTCTTAAAGAGTTTAAGGTGTCTTTACATTTACCGATTGCATCTTCAGCTCATAGCCTGGGGGTCGACCGCTGGAGCCCTTCCTTAGAGCAGCCCCCGTGGGCCACTGCGGCAGACAGTGGCGCTCAGGGTCCTGCAGAGCCTTACCTCCCAGAAGAAGCAAACCTACAGGGCCGAAGGGCTAGGCAGCCTTTGTAGGATGCAAAAATACAACAGAGGGCGCCGAAACCACCAGCGTCAATGGCCTTGAATATCAATGTATGGGCTGCCTCCCGACCGCCAAGTTCCTTAAAACTGTCTCTGGTAGCCCCGGTCTGAATGCCATACACACCAGGTTTCGGTTTTGCCTTTTCAGAGTTACCGCAATACACAAACTGTATTTACTTGCAAGACAAGGGGGCGGGGACCAAACCCACCGCTCAGTGGGGCGCGCACGCCTTGATCTTGCATTCCAGACTCGAGCTGATGTGTGTCAGCGCGACATGGGGCGGGGGGGGAGGGTTCTGTTCAGAGGTTTCATTCGCCATCTGCAAGTCACTCCCAAACTTTTCCTCCTAGCGCTCGGGGAGTCAGGTTGACGCGCCCTGGATGCGGGGCGCTAGGCGCGGGGCTGGGCGCGCGCTCCCGCGGAGTCGGGGCTGCAGAGGCTTCCGAGCTAGTCTTGGGCTTTTCAGGTACAAGTTGGGTGCCGGGTGACGGGCTGGGGGCGGCGAGAAGCGGCGGGCGGAGGTTTGGCTCGGGGTTTCGCTGCCCTTCTGCGGGTTCCACTCCAGCTGGCCGGGACTGGGCGCTGGGAGTCCGGGTGGCTGGGGCAGCGCGCAGCCTCACTCCCCACGGTGCTCCCGGCGCGGAGGCGGCGGCGGCCCAGGCAGACAATGAACTTGGAGCGCGCCGAGCTCTGGCAGGTTTGGGCCCGCACCACTTGGTCGGGCCTCCTCGCTCCAGGGGCAGTCCCCAGCAGGAGGCGTCCCTTTCTCTAAGCGGTCCTGGCCGTGCTCTGGGTGCCCAGGGCGCTTGGGGACCCTGCGGGAACGACTGCGGGTGGCGGCGCCGGGGCTCACACGCCCCCTCCCTAGCCAGAGCGAATGTGGCCCGAGCTCCGAGACAGAGAGGACCGGGTGGTGGCGTGGTGGCGCTGTGGACAGCTGGAGGCCGGCGGAGGACGCACGCCGCGGGGCACGCACCAGCTAGCTGTCCCGCAGAAACGCCCCAAGGATTCAGAATCCGCGCGACCCTGGGCCACTTAGCCCTGGAAGCTGAGGGCGGAGGACAGCTGGATATAGGACCAATGGACAGACAGGTCGACGATTTTCTGGAGCGAGCTCGCCGCGGGCAGACCTGGGGACCGGGGTTCTCCTAGCCGTGTTCAATGCCCCTCCCCCGCACACTTTGGGGGAAGTTTCCAGGCGCAGCCTGGGGCAGGTACGTGGGCATCTGCCACTATCTCTGGTACCGATGGGAGCCACCTCGGGAACCCGGGCTCTAGCTGCAACACGGCTCCCAGCGGGAAGACACGTGTGGGTTTAGGGGAACAGTTTCATGCGTCGGTGCCTGTAGGACCAGGGTTCCTGAGGAGGGACTGTGGGGACATGCCTGGGAAGAACCGAGGGAGCAGCCTGAACTTTTTTCACTCCCTGCCTTTTCCTTCGTCCCTGTCCCCCAGTCCCCGGAGCGGCCTGGCTAGGGTGTCTCGGCCAGCTGGGGAGCAGCGAGTAGAACGAGGCTTGTCTGAGCCGAGCCACGGGGCGGCGGCGGCTGCCGGGAGCCGGGAAGGCAGCGGCCCGGACGTGGGGGCGACGCGGGGGATGGCGATGGCGTGCTAGTCGGTGGGGCTGTGTGCGCTGGTGGAGAGGAAACGAGCGTTGTGGTGGCTGGTGGCAGGTCTTGGCGCACTTGGCCGGGTGGAGCCCCTAGGGATTCCGGATGGCGCCGGGGCGAGGGGAATCAGGCTTTGCAGGGAATGAATGGAGACCTGGGGAAGCGCCTCATTTCTTCTTCGGGCGAACTGATTGGCTGGCTTGCGCTAATCAGTGTCCACGTTTAAGATTCCAAGGTCCCGCGCACCCTTGTTTGACTGCTCCACCTCGATCTAAGTGTCCACGTTGCCTGCCTGTCTTGAGCCTCGGGGCGACAACGCTGCTGGAGTGGCTGGAGCGGCCCAATGCTGGGGCTGAGTTGCCTGCTGCTAGGCTGCTGGTGGCTGGACATTGGCGCCTCCAGTAAGCGAGCTTACTTGGAGGCGGTGAGTCTTGGGGTTGGGACCAGCTGCTGGGGGGCTCCTTGTCTTGTGTCTCCTAGTAGATATGCTGGACTCCTTTACTACATCCTTGTTGAGTAAGTTAATGACACAGAGTCTTCAGGAGTGACGTTCAGGAAAGCCTTGTGCAGGCTTGTGGCCATTGACTCCATGAGGTTGGTTGCCCTTTTATCAACTACTGTTTCTGACCTGTGGGGTGCCTCTGATAGTGAAGCCTAGGTTTTCAGTGCACCCATTTGCAATTCCTGACCGAATGGTGTGGATCGCCTTCCTGGATTAGGGTGATTATACCAAAAGGCCCCCTGAGAACATCTGTATCCGACTCCACTCTGTATGCCCTGAAGGGAGCTGAGGCCTAGAGGTTTTTCCAAAGTTTCTCTTGGAACCCCTCTGTTCTTCATCTGATTTTTCCAGTCAACTGACTTCTTCTTCAGAATATGGCATTTGCTGATTTTACAAAGTGTTTGTTGAACTAGGATCTGTTGGCCAATATGTGAACACACTCACATCATAGGGTGATGTGTTCAAAGGGTTTTGTTCAAAGCAGCCTGGGAGTAAAAATGCTTTATGATTGGGTTGGTTTTGACCAACAAGTTTGCTTCCCCCCAAACTAAAGAAAAGCTGAGGATGATTTTTTTTTTTGTCTTGCCACCTCAAGAGATGGAGTTGGAGGGAAGTGGCTTGCTATTGTTTCTCTACTAGGGCATAGGTGAACAGGAAGTGAAGCTTTAGGTCCAACCTTCTTCCCGGGGTCTGGCTCCCCCGGAGCTATCTCAGGGCTATCTCAGGGTCTCCTGAAGGAAGCACAACGCTGGAGGGAGGCTGGTCCGTCATGATTTTCTTTGATGTATGCAAAACCTGGACCACTGTCCTAACCAGGGATCTAGTGCTTTTAACAGTGGCTGCTGTGAGGGCCACTGTTCCTTCTATACCCTGTCTTCCCTTGTGTCTGAAGAGGGGCCTCACTTTTCCACATTCCCAAGAGATTGATCCTTGCACCAGGAAGGAACGAGAAGAAGAGGGAAAGGCCCAGGCCAGTGGCAGCATGTGGACTCTGCTTATTCAGTGCTTGGAGAAGGAGCTGAGAAATAATCTCAAATTATCCAGTTGGGTCCCAGGAGCTAGGGAGCTTTGAACCTGGAGAAAGCAAGCTGGAGATCAGCATGGTGGTGGTAGTGGTGGTGGTGGTGGTGGTGGTGGTGGTGGTGGTGGTGGTGGTGTGTGCTGGAAAGAGGAGGGAGATGCCTTGAGCAGGTAGGTGAGTGACACAGCAGGAAGCCGCCACTCAGCTCCAGCGAGTTGGGAAAAAGCAGAGTCCACAGGTCTTGTCATTTCAAGACAGTTCTTAAGCCTGGATGTGGATGTGTGGGCTGGAGTCTAAGGATGATAGAGGTGGGGTGGTGATGGTGGTGATGGTGATCTGGTCCTGTGCTGATGTCAGAAGAGACTTACACTGATATAGACAGGTGATGGTCAACATGGACTAACACTCTGATGGCTACTTGTAATGCCTAGGGCTAGAGGGGGCCTGCCTAGGCTTCTCCACATGCTGTGTGTCATGTGTCCCACAGCTAGTCCATGCACCCCCGCATCGAGACTTTGCATAAAACTTTTTGTATGCTGGTTTACTGAATAGACCCCACAGTGGAGCCTAGGGATGCCACTGGAGGTAAGACAAAGTTCCTGCTCTCTCTTAGGAGAGGCAGACAGACATGCCAATGTCAGACAGACAAATGATCCCCAAGTTGCAGGCCTTGGAGTGAGACTAAGGCAAAGTAAGTCCAAGAGAGGGGTTGGCTGTGGGGACAGGGGAGAAGCCTGGGGTGGGGCAGCTCTTCGTGGTTACTGTGCTGGCTTGGGTCTCATCGCTGTGCAGGAACTGTGTGCTGAGAGCACTCTTTGGAGTTGGCAGCTGTCACCTCTGGACCTGTCCCCTTCCTGGAGCCTCAGCCGGCCCCTATTTGTAGAGATACCATTTGAAGACCATTTGTCTGAGAGAGGAGATGTTTTCAATTCTAAAAGTAGAAACTGTTTTTCAAAAGTTGTAGCTGGCTCGGGAGTGTCACCCATCTGAGCAGTCACTCAGAAGATGTGTCTTCAGTAGTGTATGATTTAGAAGTGACTGTCGAGTCACCGGGACTAAGAATGCATGCATGTCTCTTTCTGGGTTGTAAGTTGGGAGGCTCAGGTACCATAGATATTAAGTTACTTCAAAGGGCAGTTTGGTCCTCCAGCTGGGAATAAAGAGATCTTGTTTTGTTCGTAGCTGGCGGAGTATTCAGAGACAAGGCGTTTCAGCTTACACAGTGGCTTTCTTTATTGTCCCCAAGTATTGGGGTCTGGTGTGTTCCCTGAGACTGCTTCTCCTCTGAAACACTACGACTAAATGACACACGTGAAGACCTGGCTCTCCACATCCTGAGGTGACCATCAAGGTGGCAGTCACATACTTGTTTGTCCATCCTAATATCCAGGAAGAAGAGGGTTTGTGTAGATGTGGGCCAATAAGGATTGTTTTCCTAAGACTCGAGAATCGAGGAGCAAGGTTTTTTTTTTTTTTTTTTTAAACACTTGTCATTAGCTATGTCCCTATGCAGTCACGGCTGGCCCTGTGCTAAGCAGGTTCCACAGATGTATGTATCCCTTTGTTTCTCTTAGAGGTCCAGGGAAGGGCAATGGAGAATCTCCCCAAGATTTTGGTTATTCATTTGCACAGGGAAGATGGGGGAAGTGGGATGGGGACAGTCCTCACTCCAGGAGAAGGCTGTGTGAATCCGTGAGTGGTTAAGTGTGCGAGTGTGTGTGTGTGTGGGGGGGGGGGGGGGGGGGGAGTTGGCAAGTGGGAAGCGATTTCTGTCCTTTACAGAATTTGCAGGGATGCAGAGGGAAGGGGAGCCTCCCCTCTGTCGTTGGAAGCAGCTCTGTACAACATTTATGCATTCCCTTTAGGTGTGGCCCTGGGCCAGGTGCATGGGGGCAGAGAGTCAGCTCTCAGCATGCAGTTCCTGCACAGCGATGAGATTAGTGGGCGAGGCAGAACTTGTGCAAGTCAGAATTACATAATGCTGCTGACAGGCGCCTTCAAGGGGCCTTGGGAGAGTGCAGTGGGAGCCTGGTGAGTGGCTTGGAGATTGGAGTGTTCAGGAATGATTTCACCCAGGTGTCCTACAAAAGAGTTAAGCCCCTGCCAGGTGCTGGGAACAATGCCTGGTAAATAACACTCAGTGAGCACTGGCTTTTGTAAGTATTTTTTGGTTTCTAGAACTTGTAACCAAAGATAGAGGGATATCTCTGAGGCCTAAAATTGCATAGCACCTCTACCCCACATGTGTCTATTTCCTTAGAGCAGTGGTTTTTCAACTTGTGGGTCGTGGCCCCTTTAGGTGTCAAATGACCCTTTCACAGGGGTCACCTAAGACCATAGGAAAACAGATATTTACAGTATGATTCATGACACTAGCAAAATTACAGTTATGAAATAGCAATGAAATAATTTTATGGTTGGGGGTCACCACAACACAAGGAACTGTCTCAGCATAGGAAGGTTGAGAACCATGGCCTTAGAGCATCATGTCCTCTATCTAATATAGTCTACCTTGAGGCCATGGCTGGGAACGTAGTTCAGTGGTAGAGACCTTGCCTAGCACGTGCAAAGAAAAACATAGAAAAGCATTAAAAAAAATAGAGAGAGCTAGGGGAAGCCCCTGATTGCCTTGTCCCAGCTAGGTTTCCTGAGGCTGTGGCTTTAACTCTCTGGCCATCTTCCCATCTGTGCAGGGAGGGGATGGGGTACCTACTATCCTCTGTGCCCCTTTTAGTTGGCCTTGTGGGCAGGCTGTAGGTGCCTATTTGATGTTGTCACATTAAGCAAAGTGGAGACCAGGCCACTCTCCAGAAAAAAAAAAATGTGCTGGTGTAGCTGGCCTTTGAATGTCACATCTTGAGCCCTTCTCTGAGTCTGAAAGAGTCCTAAGAGGGAATGGGTGGGGGAAGGGGGCTCCTGGCTAGGGCAGGTGCTCCTGACACCTAGTTTACATTTCTAGAACTCATCTTGGTTCAGGCATTTTAGATCTCTGAGGAAAGTAAAGCTGGCAGCTCCTCAAAAGCAGAGGGTGTCGTTTAAAAAACAACAACAACAACAACGAAAACTTGGATCCTGTCCAGA